TACACGCACCGAAAGCGTCGCGCGTGTCCTGTTCGGCCATGATAACTCGTTTCTTTCGAGAATTCTTTTGGAAATCGCTATTGCGGCTTCGACTACAGCTTCGAGAACCTCCCCGGTCGTTTGAGAGCCCTTACGGGGTCGGCCACAGCAATCAATCGGGGCGGTTCTCCGTTACGAAAGCCTGAGCTTTTCTACAAATGGGATGTAGTCGAAATTCAAGTAATTTGCAATTATTTTCTTTGACTTGCCGACCGTGTCTGGGAAGGTAGTTAGGCTTTCTGGTAATTATATGAACATTCTCAAGTACGAAACTGTCTACAGAATTTTCTTGTAGACATTTTAGACAAAAATATATTTTAGGAACCACTCTACATCTCCGTTTTCGAGCTAATCGAAGAGGCTGTTAAAGTGCTAGATACTGATTTACTATTTCGATAATGAAGAATTCAGAGAGAAATACACCGTGTTTAACCTTTTAGGTACGGCTGAATTCTACGCGAGGCTATTTCCCTGGACGGCAGAGTCTGATTTGTACTGTACAGAGTGTCTGTATATTCTGTCTGTATATTGTTAAGATACAGTTATATTGTTAACAGTTATATATTGTTAAGATAAATCTGTATATTGTAAATCGATGTGAAGACAAAAGAAGTGTGAAACAATGGATATGAAGACGATTATTTGATTCAAACGATGACCGAGTGAGCTACTAAAGTAAGCCACTATAGTGGTGCGTCGTTCAGAGAGGCGACATCCGCGAAAGCCACTATAGTGGCGCGTCGTTCAGAGAGATGACATCCGCGGAAGCCATTATAGTGGCGCGTCGTGCCTGAAAGGTTAATATTGAATTGTACACATTGCATTTTATAATAATAGTAATAATAATAATAATTTACTGATATCAACGAGAAAACATCTTTGTTGTATAGTGTGCAGCTAGTACGCTATACGATCTAAATAAATATAAAATAAAATAATAAAATGAAGTAATAAAATATAAATGTACGCTGAAAGTAGTGAAATTATGACCGAATAATATTCCCCTTCAAGGAGCAAAGCTTCAGAACTTGAATAAATTAATCAAGAAGATCAGGTGTGATAAAATGAAGAATGCAAAAGGTCGGAAGAGCGAAAATCACCGAGAAAACGTGGAAACGAGCGCGTCGCGTCGGCTCGATAGCAACTGATCGATGAAATACCCGATCTGAAAGTGCGTGACCGCGGGGCCTAAAAGCAGCTCCGAAGTAGGTTCTTGCTCACGTGGAACCTGCAATGAGCCGCGATTTCGTATATCGAATCGGTGAATGGTGATCGATCGATGTTCAGGACGTTGGGCAAGTCGAATAACCATCAATTTGCGAGAGCGGGCTGTAAGACGAAGAAACGCCTCGATGTTGATCGAAATCCTCTCTTCCTCGCCAATCTCGAATCGGGAATACGTAATGGCCACCGTCCGACGATCAAATCGAACCTGTGCATTAAAAGCTAGAAAGAAACTTTCGCGACTCTGTGTTCACTTCTGACTCCCCGGGCTATAGAATCCCAGCGAAGTCTATATGCTCTTGAGAAAATAGATTTTAAGTAGTGCTACATCGATTCTGACTACATGATTTATTTAATCACGCGTCCATTACAATTTGAATTTGTTCGCCTCTGTTTAATCTCGCTGGCGCATTGGAACTGAACACTAAAATAGAGCGATGCGGCCTGCAGTTAATTGTTATGCGGGTAACTACAACCATTTACTTTTTAAGTTCAGTGCAGTAAGCATACGATACGCAGATCTAAAAGTTTACGGGTTTTGTGCGTTTATAGCAGATGTGAAAAACAAAACAGTGAAATGATTAAGAGAGTTTAAGAACGCTGCTACATTATTTTCATTGTGTAACATGTATTAAGAAGGGAAACAAAATATTAGTTTAATTTAGAATGTTGCAATTGAGGTGTACAATATTTATTTATCTATTTATATACTGTATGTATCATTTTAATCTCAATTTTCATCGTTGCCTTTATCCTTGACGCTTAAAGTTGCCCAAACATGGCTAAATGGAAAGTGTTCAACCTACTTTCAATTCTCAATTGAATCGAATTAAACCAAAAAGACTGCCGCTTTACAGTAGCATGCTGATGAAAGTGGTTCTTCAAGGCATCTAAGTTCAAACATATAACTTAATGGCTCGCATAGTTCTGTTTATTTTATTCATTGTATCGAATGCACCGTGCTCTCTTACAAAATGTGAGAATACAATTATCAAATAATGACGTCCGCAAGATTGACACGGTGTTCTTTGTACGAAAGAGAAAATCGCGATTGCGAATGTGTTAACATAATAAAGGGTCGAATCCGATGCGCCATAGGAAAAGTATTGTTGCGAGGTGCGAAGAGCGAGACGACAAGCGTCGGTCGAAAGTCGCGGGCGGAAGTGTTCGCCGGATTTCTATTAATCAGCGGCGTTTCATCGGGCAAATTGGCGGACCAAAGGCGGAAGCGGTGAAAAGCCTTGAGGCGTACGAAAGACCGGAAGATACGCTCGAGTTTCCCGTAATTCCGTAACTAAAATTCTGAACGGGACGATTGTTGATAGAACAACGACAAAAGCAGCGTCGTTAGGAACGTTCAAAGAAGCCATTATCTCTCAACTACTTCCGCTGCTAATGTGACGATCGCGGGCGGACGATCTTTATCGGCGATCTTCTCGATCCTCTCCATCAGCCTCGATTCTGCGAGGCGTGCAGACCGGAGCGGAGCGCGGTGCGGAGAAGAGAAAGAGGCCGCGCGGAGCGAATCGTCTTCCCCTCCATCTCTCGGAACCATGACAAATAGAACGGGATGAGCCTCGACAGCCTATCGATACCCATCCGCCATTCCGATGAACGTGCAGCGAGTCTCGAATACTATGTATTTATGCTTCCCGTATCATTTCGTAATTATCGATAACATCGTCAAGGCTTTTTGCAGGAAACAATGGGTCATTACTAGTTCCCTCGTACCTCGCCCCGGAGTCTGTCTTACTTTTTCTTTGCCGTTTCCCCACGCCACTCCTCATCCATCCCCGCTTATCCGTTTAATCACTGGAACGCCTAAGTCGCTTTTGGATGTCCACCAAGTTGCGCGAAATTCTCTTTAAAAAATTCAAAATCCAGTCGAAGCGAACAAGGCTCTTCGATTCCTAGCGTCTCCATTCGGGTCATGGATAACCGGCGTCATTAAATCCAATAGAAACAAATTCTTTAATTGCCAATCGCAATTCCGATCGTTCTTTCAATGCCACCAATGGCACCGACCGATTATTGGAATTTATAACCGGTTAAAAGTCTCCGATTCTAAAACGAATTTTCCGAACGCGATTTTCCGTCCGTGCAACATGAATTTCTTATTATGTGTAATTTAGCATTATCTAATCTATATATTTTAGCGTATCTAATATTCTAGTAGCGACGATAATATCGACAAATTTTAAAGCATTAAAATTTACTTCAATTATGTTTCTAGCAATCTTGGCTCCCGTGACATGCTCCCACACTCCCGTGACATACTACGTGTTCAGCTGTGCACGTGTTTCTGTGACAATTATTCGAATAAGATGAGAAAAGATATCAAATTGTACATCAAAAATTTTAATTCTAACGTGGAGCGGACGCTGACTCGAATGCTTCGACAACGATATATTTGTAAAATGATATAATTTTGAACGAAAGCGAACGATCAAATTAATTTGGAGCAATTATTTCGAAACAAGACCACGACGCATCGGAATGATTGCTGTTTGATGGTGTTTATGACACTCTCAGCTACGTTTTGCCTTTGATCTATCGCTTATATGCGACACTCGTCGCGCCGAGAGACCAGAAACTTTGAAGTTAGCCTGTAAATGCATAATGGAAAGAATCCATAACCGGTGTGTCGCGATACGTCCGTCTCGTTGTGTAATTTCAAATCGAACGGAAGCTAGCGTCGTCGCTATTCCGCGGAACTATCGACCGGTTTCGATATGCATCGAGCTAAAAACTGACGTGGATTTGTCGCGGCTTGTCCACGTGGCGCTCTCGATATTTTACCGCCGAAATCGCGATCGCCTCTTTAATTGCCTCCAGATGTCAATTAATGGCTCGAGCAGCGGCGATGGGTCGCGCGCCTCGCACGGATCGTTCGGCAGCCGACAGCATCGCTAACTAAGAACGCAAGTGTTTGTCATTACGGCATCCAAGACGATTTTATCGTCCACGAACGTTTCCGCCTTTTCCTGTTGCTACCGTGATTCCCTCGCCGTTAGATCGAGAGATCTATCCCGTAATAATAACTGGCAGATCATGTGGACACGATGACCTCATCGCTGGAAAAACAGTTTCGAATCGCTGCACCATTTTTAGGGACGCTGCTCGTTCTAGAGTTCGAGCGATTCTACAATTTTACATTATATTTACTCTTTTATTGCCATTTAATTTATATTCATTATTATTGTCATTATTATTTTCACCTTTTTTATTCCTTTTATATTACATCTCCTTTTTCTTGCTTTCTATTGCTTGTAAATCTTCTTAAACTTTTTGTGACAAAGGTTTTTTCCTCGTTTACACGATATATCAATAAATATTGTATATTATTACTATTATTACAAATTAAATTTTTACGCCACCACAACTCAAATTAATTGTGTATTTCGATTGAATTGAGAGCTAAAATATGAGCAAACGAATGAGCTTTGTAAAATTGTTCTTATGCCACGCGATACGGTATAAACTGCCCAACGATTCACTAAGTGAAGCTAAAATGTAATCGCAATCTCTAGGAGTTCCTACGACGAATTAACCTAGTACATAAATCGAAAGTAGGGCTGCTAGAAAATTGTCTACGACATGTAAGGAAATAAGGAGACTGTAAGTGCTTTAGAACGTTAGTGTGAATGAATTTGGACGTTTGAATGATGGTTTAGTATGATAGTTTGAATGCTACGAGGCTCGATTGCTAACTTTGCTCGTTTTTTTTCTGTTTGCAGAGGGCAACGTTAGCGGAGAAGGAAGTTTCCGCGTTAAAGGAGCAACTAGCCGCGTTAAAGGAGCAACTAGCCGCGGCAAACGATGGGAATTCGAAGACTGAGGGACACCAATTGTCTCAGACTATACAGGGAAGTGATCAGCAGCAGGTTCACGATGCCAGCAATCCCAGGAGAACGCCAAACAGCAACCTGGAGCAGGAACTGCAAGCGAAAGACAAAGAGGTGAGTAAAAAACTGAACGATACCTCCACTCTCCCTTCCATAAAAGCGAACAAAACTGTATTGCAATACAAATAATCGTCGATGGGTCCTACGCATACTAGACTTGTGTGAAATATGTATCATATTCTGAAATATGATCTTCGCAACAGAAGATCAACTATAGTTGAAGCTCATATATTTATATTTATACTCCGTTTAAAATGTATTTCTATAGATTCGAAGGCAGATATTGATTTATCCGCAAAATATTCGAAGAAGGCAGAAATAAATTTAACATTCGTCTTTCGATAATATTTCAGAATGTCACTTTTGAATGTATATATTAATAGCTATAAGTGACCGACCTCATTTTATGCTTTTCATCATCGAGTTCTTCGACAGCTGATAAAAATATACTTCCCTTCGAGATCGCGAACATGCAACGTGATATCATTTTAGGACTATTGCTAACGAGCTTTAAATAATCCTCTGTGATCTTAAAGCTTCTTAATAAGTTGCCAAATAAATTTCTGCGAAAGCGACAGGATCAGGAAATACTGTTTAACTGTTGCACACAGAGCTGTGCGCTGCGTGTGCGTCGATCTGAATGACTGACGTACTCGATAGAGCACGTGGTAGCCCACCCTCACTCCCTTTTCGTGCTAGGTTCTCCTCTCCCCCTCTCCACTCTCTCTTTCTTTTTCACTGTCTATCATTCTCTCTCTTTCTGTCTGTCTGTCTCTTCATCTCTCTCTCTCTCTCTCTCTCTCTCTCTCTCTCTCTCTCTCTCTCTCTCTCTCTCTGTTTTCTCTCGTACGCACGAAGCACGCGCACACCACACAGCGAAATTCACCCCCGAGTGCACTTCACCTTCCCAAGCCGCGATAAACGGCTCGAATCACGCTTTCGGGACGCAAAGTGTGACTAATGGCAGCCGACGAACCGACGGAATTGGTAATGAAAGAAGATCATAAATAGGAGACGGTGTATCGATGAATATTCATCCGGGGCCGGGCCAACAAGAATCGTCAGGGTTTCGACAGAGACAGTTTCGGTAGCTATGAAACGTCGCCTTGATGAGTCCAATCGGCTTTACGTCCGTTACCATCGATCCCTACGAGTCTCCCATTGCATCGTGCCCGAAAAATAATTTCACGTCCTCGAACGGATCTTCTTCCACTGAAGCTTCTACGGGAATGGGATAACTAGCCACTCGGTTTTAATTACTACAAAATCGAAAGATGAAGAAGAATTACTGTAAAATTTGTAGAATATTTTAGTAATTTACTCGCGTAATCTTTAAATATATCTGATCTTTTGATATCTGACAAATGATTCGGGGCATTGAGAAACAAAAATTTCTCTACTAAAATATCTAAACTAGACACAAACAATTTTGAAAACTAACCCCACTTCTTAAATGCCGATTCAATCAAAACCATAAGCTCCATGAAAATGTAAATTAGAAAACTGCGCTCTCCATTGACACCATTTTTCCCGTTGACAACATTTCGCACTCGTTTCGGGGGTGATCCGCGATTTCGTGGCAAAGCTGCAAAAAAACCACCCTCTCCGTTGGAATCCAGGCTTAAAAAAGGGACACAAAGTGCTCGAACCCTTCACTTACGGTTTACGAAGCGAAGTCTTGTAAGAATCTCTCGCACCCCATAACCGGGGGGTGCATAATGCGAGCGATGCGGTGGTGTGGGGCTTTAAACAAAGGCGAAAACACTTAAAGCGCCGATGGAGAGAGCGAAAGGAGTGATAAAAACACCGCTAAGAGTTCAATAAGTATCCTGCTTAGGGCCAATAACGTCGCACCCCTTTTTCGCCCCCGCCCCTAGCCGCCACTTTGCACCGGCTGCTCCGGTATTCTCGTTTTGAAGGAAATCGTTTGCTTTAGCTTGTTGTAATCCCGAACCCGATAATCCGCCACCCTTTTCTCCATCGTGGCGCTCTCCTTCTTTCACCCCCCCCCCCCCCCCAACCCCCCCCCCCCCCACACAA